CCCCAAAACCCCAAAACCCCAAAACCCCTCCATTAGCTATACAAGAATATCTGAGATAAAAAATTATTGATCAAAAACTTTTTTCTTTATATTAGGAACTTGCTATAAATCTGTATTTAGTTACTACTTAATATAGTTTCAATATTCAATTGAGTTATTAGGTTCAATATCTTGGCTAAGATTATCATTGCTGGGCTCAAAAGAATTATTATGCTATCCGAAGAAGGCAGAAATTTGCTTATTGTTTAAAGTTTAGGCAAGCCTACCTTCAACAATAAATTCATCATCTGTAGGAATACCGAATGATTCCCTGCATTGAATTAAGGGCATCTAATTATCAAAACTAGTTTCTAAAAATTGGACTTGGATCTCATCATTACTGTCAACACTCTTGAAACTGAAAGTCATCTTTGGTTCTTCCAGCTTCTCGTTTGACTCTTTTTGTAAAGTGTGATTCTTGGTAGTCTAAGCCATTTTCAAATGACTCTTAAAGGGTGTCTAGAAGCTGTTATCACTTTAATAATTGAAGTTTTCGTCCAACTCATCAATCTCATACTCCTTCTTTATATACAAATTTTTGTCTAGTTTCTTAGGTGCTTTCTTCTTAACAACGTTTGGATTGTTGTTTTCTTAGTCAAGCACATCATTGTAGTAGAGCCTTTTGTTGCTATTTGCTTTTTCAGAAATTTGATAGTTAATATCGTCTGGCTACATGTTTGCAAGGAACTCAAATTATTAAGTTTATCTGAGATCTGAAGCAAATTCATCGTACTCATGGTCCCCACATTAACTTTTTGTGTATTTACGCCCAAAACTCTGCCTTATATCGAACACATTAAGATGAATTTAGTCTTAGCTCATCTTTTCTTTTCTGTCTGATAGTTGGATCTGAGACTAATTTTCACAGGAATATCTCTATATGGCATCAGAATCCTCCTCGAAATCCCCTCGAATAATTTGTGATTCATTAAATGAGCTATGATTAAAACTTGAGTTAGAAACACTTTTTAATTGCCCAGATTTCTGTCTACTGACCTAGCCTACTCTTACTATGTTTGTATTAGATGACATCTAGGATTAGCTGATATTTGAAGAAGAGTAATTATTGACATAACTGCTCATTGAAGATTAAGAACCTTGAGAGTTAGAAACTCTTTTAATCATGAGAGATTGATCAGATTGTTGGCCACTCATTTGAGAAGTCAAATCATCAATGATAATGCTTACAGAGGAACGTCCATCAGACACTTCCTACACCTTAATCGTAAGATAAGATGTTTCACTTATTCTATCATCATCAACATTTCCATTATGAATGGTCATGACTTTAACACTTGTACCTGTTCTGTCTGTGAATAACTCGGAACCCTCATTAGTTTAAGTATTATCTATAGTTATGATGAATCAGCAAGATGTAATCCTTACTTGTAGTTGAAACATCTCTTAGGTTGATTGATGATGATTTAAGATGTGGCTTCATATTCATTTATAATTTTGGAGTAATAAAGTTGATTTCATTTTTGTTGCTGCCGTTCGGATCCATTTCAAAGAAAGTTTTTTTCTTAAACTAGTTTATTGCTTTGAGCTTATGCTTTCTAATTTTAGTTTCTTATCGATTCAAATTTGCTGCTTATTGTTTCTTTTGCCTTATGTAATCCTAAAAGAAGTATTAAGTTAATTCATTCTGAATTCATAGGATGTTATAATAATACAAAATGTATATCTAATCTTATAAGCATTTCAGTTAAATTTTACTTACATTATATAGGTCTTCTCTTCTTTATGCAACAGAGGATGATTTACTAGCATCTGAATCTTTCCTCGTGTTTTTGAGATAGTATTCTCGAAGTTTTTGAATTTCTCGAGCTGTATCTTCATTTCCATTTTGGGAATCGTCATCATCAATCTTTGCTTTCCTCCCAAGAAGATATTTTACATCATGCATTGCTTGATACCAAGCAGAGCCCATGACATCCATACGCTCCTTATTAAGAATTTGACTCTATTTGTTCTTCAAATTTTCTTCGTATTCAACATAACTGAAAGGAGATGAGGTATTGTCACTGCATTTGTCCACCGTACATATACAATTACCCATTATTTTAAATACAATCACAAACTCTCAATCTATTATTACATCTATTAATTTATTTTCAATTAATTCATGTTTTTTAATTTTGCAAGTCATTGATTCCTTCTCAATTTAATGATTTAGGGGTTTTGGGGTTGTATTTAAAATAATGGGTAATTGTAT